TCCTCCCTCCCTCCAATAACCCATCAGAAGGTTCCTACAACCACCAGTTAGGGTGGAGCAGGTGATTATTACCTTTGTCTAAGTCAATGTTCTTTGCTGGGAAGCTTCTGGCTTGCTCAGCCTTCTCCTTCAGGATATTGTTTTTGTAATCTGTGTAAATGCAATTCAGAGAGTCATTAGAACATTAAAAGAAAACAAAGCTTTACAGGCAAGATGGACATGTGATCAGTCCTTCCCTGCAGGGCTCCAAGCCTGGCATCTCCAGATCTTTAGGAGTAACTCATGGAGTTACTCAGCCACTCAGAAGGAAAAGTGCCACAACTTAATTTTTCCCCGGCACCAGTCAGGTATGCATACTTCAGCTTCCTGTTTCTCATAGCTATCATATATTCTTCCAGCATGTAATAAAAAGCTCTGGATTATCTGGGTGAAGGTCACTTGAAGGCCTTTACTGATACAGTTACTTAAGGAATTTGCTCACAAGGGAGTTCTCCTGAGACACACACACACACAGAAGAATTTGTCCTTGCTGCTGTCCTGGTCTACAGTCTACCCTCTGCAATCCCTTTGTTCTTTACTTCAGCGTTTTGTATTTACCTCTTGTTTTTCTGAGGCCCCTACTATAATTCTATAGCTTGGAACCTGAGGTTTGACAGCTTGGTCTTTAAAGGTTATACTCTTATTTGGCATGCAGAGAGAGAAAAAGGGATAGTGTCTCTCGTTTCCTGGTTTATCAGCATGTTCACTGACATATGGAAAGCTGCGGCAGGTGCGAGCTTGGCATTGTGGCACCTTAAAGTCCTGAGACTTAAGAGTCTCAGGATAACGTAGACAAGGAACAATTTTGCTCTACTGACAATCCACTCCCAAGTCCAAGAAAGAAAACACCTCTGATTAAATTATTGATACAATAAACTGAAGCCTGCCCTTTCAAGCTCTAGTAAGGAGCAGCATTTACCTTTAGGAATTTTGTGAGATCCCTCAGTCAGTCCTACATATCCCAACAATAATACTTTCATAGACCATCGCTGAGATTAGCTTCCTTCCCTTCTCTTCTGCATGTTTCATGTTACCATGAATTACAGTGCAGAGATTTTCCCTCTTCTCTATTCTAGGAATTTAGCTGCAAATTTTCTTCCTATGATGTTCCCCAGGCTTATTTATCCTAATTGTTATCACAGATCCTGGCAGAAAGCCCACTTAATTCACTGAATGGTTTGACATCCAGGGAGGATGAGAATGAAGAAAGCTAAACCAAATTGGCTTCAATAGAAGGTGAAGGCAGTGAACTCAGTTAACTCATGACTTCTTTCTCCCCACTTCAGTCAGCTACAGTTCATACCCACTTCCAAGAGAGATGGCAAGGCCAGTAGTTAGTACTAGATACTATTGATCTAATTTTTCTCCAGATGACTCACTGAGTCTGAGTTAGCTTTTACGTACTATAGGATGATTCCATTCATATTGATGAACGCTTTGAGTTTCTTGGACAGGAAATTCTAGAGAACTGTCTTGTAGATCCTCTTCCTTAAATAAACTGCTTAAATTGGAGGGCTCTTCTTCCCTAGATGCTATCTTGATCTTATTCTATATCACTTTGCACTTACTTGAATTTGGCTTTGAGTTGCATGTCAAAGAACTCCAAAAATTCTAGGTAAAACCAAAGAAGCTGTACCTCATTACTGATCAACCTCATCAATCAGCCTCTAGGTTAACCCAAAACTCAGGACTGTCCTCTCCAGCTGCAGTCTCCCTGCTTGCACTGACTTGGGGGTTGAGTTTCTCAAAGCTACCATTTAAAATCAGGAAGCTAAATCACTTCAAACTGGGCATCTAAATGCCATTAGGAAATCCTCAGTTTTGACCTGGCTTGGAGAATGGTTGCTAGCTGATGCATACCCAGCCTGATGTCTTCGCTTTTGTATTGAGTCAGATCTGTTGTGTCGACTGTTGTAAATTCTTTAAGATTTACATCCTTCCTGTAAAAGGAATAACAGAGAAAAATGGTATTGTCACATCCTTTAAGATCTAGTCCTTTCACACTTTTTCACAGTAGCTTTTCTAATACTACTTCAGAGAATTTAATTTACATGCTTTATTTGCTATACATCTGGAGGATAGTTGAAAAAAAACATAGAAGATTCTATATTAAGTACTGGCAAATTTCATAGTAATCCATGTAGAATCCTTTTCAGTTTCTACAAGGCTTCCCTGGAGAAAGCACGATAGATAACAGCACTCGTAGCCAGTGCACATGGATACTTTTCTTGGTTTTGCCTCTAACCAATCAGATTTCAGAAGGTCACGCTGCTTATCAATGAATTTGGTTCTCCTCTCTCTTGCTTTTACTATACTTTCTATTATCACAGTGAGATCTCTGGCTAGTTGGCTGTTTTTTCCACGGCTTTGCCTAGAGCCATTTTAATACATGCAATAAAAGGTCAGGGAACCCAGACAGAGGATGCTGGACTAGGTCCAGCTCACAGTAGGGTTTATAGTGGACTTGTACATTAGTCCTTTACTATTAACTCCTAATGACATCTCACAGAAACATGAGCTGTGAACCAATTCCTAAAGTATAACCAGAGGAAATGCAGTCACCAGATCAGACATACAAACCATTCTCTCCTTCCATGCTTTGACAGAAACATAGTTTCTCCCTGATATGCAATCATTATGCAAGTGTATATTATGCAAGCCCTAGAAACATTACACTAATAATGACTACAGGGTAAAGCTGCAAAAGAACTGGCTGCTAAGCAATGAATAAACTCCATGAAACAGTGTATGTTTTACGTGGTTATATGCTTATTAACTAGAACAGAAAGGCAGCTGAGGCTGGGGCCCATAAGTTCGCATTTTTATTAAGTATTCTAGTCATAGATAATAGATCCAGCAATTATACTTACTCTCCATACTTCTTCACATTGTATTCATAACCTAGACAGGGAGAAGAAACAGAACAAGCAGTTGTAGCCAGTCCAACTAACCCCCCTCTCCACCCGCCCCCCAAAGATAAGCAGTGATTCTGTGATAACAATGCCTAGTACTTATTTACACAGTTTTCTTTATCACAGTGCTTACAATGAGCACTTTCACAGTCCCCCCGCAACACATAAGAACTCATGTGTGTTCCACCGGCACAAGGAGCTCCCCCTTCCTCTACTCACCAGCCTTCTGGTTGAACTCCTACACCTCCTCCTCCAGATGAGTGACCAGACATGAAAAACTACCACCATCACCATATTTTATTTCTTTCTACCTCCCATCTATTACTAAAATATTTAGCACATCTGTCATCTCTTCTGTGTTGATGCTGCACTTGTCCATCCCCAGCCCATTGTTTAGGCCCGCATCCATCATGTGCTGCAGGTGCCAGTTTCCAGAAGCCTTCCACATGCCAGGTATCTAACTGTTGGTCTTACCCCACCCAGCAAGGAGTGATGGTTGCCAGCTCCTTTTCCATAGCAAGATCAGGGCCAGGAGTCTGCCCTCTTTGTGACTGCAAAGTAACTCCACTTAAGTCAGTGGAGCTGCTCCAGATAGGGAGAATGTCCCATTTTGTGTTGGTGCTAGTCCCCAACATGTAAATAAGGATGAATGCGGTAACGCAAAAGAACTCAACAGAAGACAGGCATTCCTCAGTGTATGCTTTCTTTTGGTATCCAAAGCTATTTGTGTGAAAGTCACCAAAAGATCTCAGCATCCACTCATCTTATTGTAAGCAGAGAGCATCACCCCAGTACAGAGCGGCCAGCAATGACCTAGACCTCTTAGTGCCTAAGGGATGCACACAGGCCCTCTGCTCTAGGTGATTTTCACTTGCAAAGAGCAACTGTCCAGCAGTTCTAATCTTCTCCCCTTTAACAGAGCAATTCAGCAAGTCAAGGCCTTGAAATTTTTACAACATACTAATGAAGAATCTTGCTTCAGATCAAATTCTGCAAAGACTTTGAAGGTTGCTGGTTTTACAGAAGAGGATCACTGCCTTCAGCACTGTGCTTTGTAGTAATTATTTGCAGGATCAGCTCTCCTGTCCTGAGGACATTCCTGTAAGTACTATAAGGCCAGTCTTTTCCAGCACTTACCTCTCTGCCGGCGCTTGCGGGTGATGAGGACAACAATGATGAGGAGGACAATGAAGAGCAGCAGAGTTGCCACGATGTAGCCCAGCTGCTGGAAGAAGTGTATCCGGCTTTCAGGGATGATGACATTTATCACATTGTGGCCCCTGACAACATTTGTATCTGATTGCAAAGGAAAGAAAAACAGGCTGATAATTGTAACTGGCATCCAAAGCAAAGCAGGGTCCCTGGTGGGCCCATCTGTGAAACCTACAAGTATGCTCAGTTAAAGATTCTTCTGAACTGCATGGGGTAAAGAGTAAATGGCTCCTAATTTACAACATACAGCATCTTTGTCAGATGCAAAAGATCTGTGCTCATCCCAAGACCATTCTCCTTTTCAGGAGTACGAAGTGTAACAATGACCGTTTCCCTTGCTGCTGCCTGGCTGTCAGTGTGCTGTTCTTGTTTACTGAGGAAAGGAAGTCCAGACAGAAGCCACACTAGACAGCCCCAACTCTCTCTGCAGGGTAACACAGCCTTCCTCTGGGTCCCTTACAACATACGTACCATGTTGCTTCGGCTCCAGACAGCTAAAGTATGAAGCAGCCCCTCCCTGCCAAGGAGTATAATTTACAGAGTAGGAGGAATTTTCAGTGCCAAAGAATGAATTTCCTTTTAAATGAAACAAAAAGCAATAAAATAAATAAAATAAAAACTCGTAAAGAAAAGCCAAGACTTCATTCCATTTGTGGGTGCAGCAGCATTTCAGTTCCTCAGCACAGGGAATGTTAACTCAAAACTTTTACGTGGAACATTTTTGTAAATCTCAAATAAATAGGTCAATGTTTTACACATACAAAGAGGAAGCAACGTCTCTGCTTGCAACAGGGAGAGCATTGGACAAACGCAGCCCAGGCACAGAGAGCAAACCCATAAGACATATCATGCTGTGGTAAATTTTTCTGTTCAAAATAGAGTTGAAAGGGATACCTTCTCCCCCTAACAAGGAACATTCATAGAGCCTCAGCAAGCACCATTAAGGAGTTCTGGCCTACCATTTTCTTGGGAGTTTAAGTCCTACGAATTAGTCAGGGGAAATAAGGGGAAAAGATAGGGACAAATACCTAAGAGCCACAGTACGATTTAGTAGACGTGTCCTAAAGACAGGAATAAGGAGCCTGTAATCCTGGGTTCCAGCCTCCAAATCACCTTGTTTCTAAGCAAATAATCTGAGCTCTGTTTCTCAGCTTCTACCACACATGTTTAATTATAAGCACTAGTCAAACGTTGCTCACTGTTATTCCATGGTGACTGGGGAACATTCCCTGGGCTAACTATGGACTGATATCAGCAGAAGCGAGAGCAGATTCACTTTCCTGTTTTATTTGTTAGTAAGGCTTGACACTTGCAACAGCAGCAGTGGCCAAAAACAGGACCGGGTCAGAGCTGTGCTGGCACCTTTCTACACATCCTCTGGCACCTCCATGACACTGTTTAAGAAAGGCCGCCTTCTCTTTATCAATCCATCACTTCACACTGAGCCTGTCTCAAGCAAAGACTATGTCAACAGTAAGCACTGATCTTGTCACGGGAACCAAGGAGTCATGGGAATGAGAGCCAGACAGCCAGTCTTGTTTCTTATCAAACATCCTTTTGACCCCAGTTAATTGTCTGTATTTCAGCACGGCCAGATCTCTCCAGGAGCTTTTCAATGTTCTCCTTTAAGTGAAGTGACACCTTCAGCACCAGTTAAGGACAGAGCTAACCAACAGAAATAAGAATGTCGCAGCTGAGCTAAGCCGATAAGTTTGTTATGACTGCAACAGCTGGTTTTGCTTTTGAGGCCATTTGGGAATGTTAGAAACGGCTCGCTTCCATCAGTATAGTACCACCAACATAGCTGAGTCCAGAAACTCAACGTTCCCCCCAAGAAACTCAGCCCCAAGAACACTAATCTTGTCTAACCTTGCCTTCAGTAACATCAGGTAAACAGCTCATGAAGCTAATCAACTAATCCCTTAATTAAACACGTGAGCAATCCAGGGCCTCTGGGTATGAGAAAATGCTTAAGTATAAACTAGAATTAAGACAATAGGTCCAGGCAGTTAAGACTTAGGAAGCAGTTAAGACTTATCATTGTGCCTGGGTCAGCTCCGGCTCTGGAAAAAGCAGGGAGTAGGTAAGAGAACGCCTACTCCCCAGTCACTCCAGAAAGGTCAATTGAAAGTGATCCCTGCTGAAACTTTTGGAGTGCTGACATAGTGGTTGGTTCTGGTCTGTTGGTACTTTGTTTTCAGTATTTAAAAACAATAACACTGAACAAGATGATGGTGGATTGAAATAAACACTTTGAAATCAAAGATGATTCTTTGCTAATATTAACAACAATCCTAGAAAATCAGGACTTTTTAGCCTCTGCTCTGTCCATTTGGGTAGCCCCACCTTTCACTCCAGCAACACTCCCCTTTTTACTGATATTGCTAGATGCTGTATGTTTGTTTGCTGGCTCTGTCACTGAAAACTGGCATGTGTTTTATAACAATAGCTAAGCTAAAAAAAAAACCAAACCAACAAACCAAAATACCTATTTGCAAAGCTGTAAACAGCATAAATGGCAGTTCCACTGTAAAAAATCCTGGCTCACGAAGGGCTTCAGCAGCTGTCATACAGTGATGGTAGCCACTGGAGCAGTAGCTGAGCCAGAAGTCAGTAGATATAAATGTATGCTGTTCCTGAGTTTTTGCCTTCCCACAATACTTCAAGATAGGATAGAAGCTGGGTTACACTTCAGTCAACTTTGGAGAGGTCACTAAAACAACAACAGAGACAAACATTCAGTAACTTCGGGCCTCCCTGGCTTACTCAATGAAATAATACTAAAAATACTTATCATATCGATTTTTCGACAAAGCACCAGCAGCAGATTGCAAAGTCCATCATCAGGTGCGCAGTGGAATATATCCCCATTTACAGTTGGGGAAACTGAGGCATAAAGTCACAGTTCACTCAGTATCAGCCAGTAGAAGAATGGCAGAGCCCAGAATAGTATCACCAAGATAATATAGATTCTCTTTCCCATCCTTGTGTTACATCAGAATTTAAACTGAGGTTATGCAGTTTTATTCTGCAACCAAGAACTGATCTTTTAATATGTCTCAAAACGGCATGCCCATCTGCCTCCCCTTATTGCTCTAAAGTCTCCCAGAATATTCTGCACTGTTTACTACCCAGCTGGATGAGCTGATGTTCTCTCTCCTGCTTGCAAATCAGACTTTCAGAACTGAATTCATGCATGAAAACCCCAGATCTCACCCTTGGATCCATACAAATGACATCAGTATGGTGCACCTCGGAGGTCAAAAGGGGCTTACATACATGAAACAGAGAGTCTGAATTAAAAGGAAGACCACTATGGTGATCTCTGTCTATTGTGCTACCAGATAGAACACCACCAAGGAATCAGCCAATCTCACTGCAGAAATGATGGAAGGAAACGCAAAACAGCTGCTTTCAGTAACTACATCACTGGACTAACAGCACACAAACTTTGGGCCCTAGTCTAGAAACATATAATATTACGCATAACCTAGCAAATGTGTTTGTTATCCTGTAGGCATAAGCTAAATACAGTGGTAGGAAATGGCAGGATCAGGGTGTTGCAGTTGGCACTATCCATTGCTAAGGAGTTGGGTCTAATGAGAATGGTTTCTCTAGTCCAATTTTGCACTTGTTCTCTGACTGAAGTGTATCTCGCTCCCTTAATATACACTAGGATTTCTGAGAGTTACCAGATGTCAGCTGGCTGCTCTGTGTCTCAGTTAGCCAAACTGTAAAACAGGAATACTTGTATCTACTCCCAACCAAGAATGGGAGGCTTTAGTGAATTAAATCTAGTAAACGCCCCCAGAGACTTGGATACAAAAAGATCACTGAGGTGCCCAGTAAGAAATCAATTTCAAAGACATGTGATTTGTTTTAACTAGTTGAAAGTTTGAATGGCAAGGGGGGAAAAAAAAAAGCACAGATCTGCCTTTACATTACTCTATCAAAATGGTAACAGTCAGATCCTTCTGCTGGGAAAAATGGAGAGAGCTCCACCAAGAGAGCTCACAAATGGTAGGGATCTGGCCCATTTTTTTTTCAAGGTTGAGAAAGGATTGAGAGTAGTTCAGCAATAAGCAAGAGAAAGAATGGATGTCCTTCTTCAATCACTTACTCCAAAGAAAATACAGGTAAAAACCCACTAAATTAGTAGACCTCCACCACATTATACTGCTGGGACTAAGAGCAGAATCAAGTCTATGTTTATAGTTCAAAACAGGATGAAGTTTCCTGTCTGGAAATGGCTCTGAGCCTTGGAGCTATGCCTGGAACTAAGACTGCTTGCTGAAAAAACTCATTGCTTTGCTTTTTGTTATCTCCTGACGTTTCATTTTGGTTTTATGTTATTGCCCCAGAAGAGTTCTATACAGCTTTTCAGGGAGTGGGGCAGTATCTCAGCCTTTTCCACTATGCACAAATAGGGCCTGTCCCAGGAGGCTGCTCATCAGCAATGTGTTTGAAATAGGCACTCTGGATGCCTCGGCTTCCTTCACATTCCCATCGACTCAGCACATTTTTGTGTGTGATGCTCTCAGACCAGCTGAGTGTTCAGCGCCCCTTGGGGACAAAGCTCTTCTAAAGCTATTCTGTTTGGCAATGGAAGTTACTTGCTTTGCTTCAACCATGGCCTGTTAGGAGGATGCCTCAGGATGCCAAAGTCTGATCAGACAGCCAGTCGAGGCAAGCATGATGCAAAGTTTCTGAGAAACTTCCATTTCATGTTTTCCTCATATTGTACAGGAAAAAAAGACTGATTCTTGCTCAGATCTTTCTTCCATCGCAGTCATCAGGAATTTTGTCATTTATTTCAGAGGGAATAGAACTGATCTGCTTTTTCTACTGGTGACCATAAGAGACCAATGGAACCTACCTAAAGGAAGGTGCCCCCTGACCACATTGACCTGAAGAAGAATCTTTTCAGCTAGTGCTGGAACACACCTCTCTCAAATGAGACCAACAGCCATCTAACATCACACAGCAACACTAAGCAACAGTAGGGAATATGGCAAAGAGAAGACAGACCACTGAAATGGAGAGAGGAAAGTAAACAGGCAGAGTTTGACCCTCTGCAGTCAGATGAGTAATAATACACTACTAGAATTTTAGTAGCGGGGCACTAATACGGGACTAAGATAGCTCAGTCTGGATTAAATTACCTGTAGGTTCTGTCCAACACCTGAGCAGGTAGATAACTTGTCAGCAACAAATTGGATAACCGCTAGGAAACACAAAAATAGATTCCTGGATGGGCAACTCTGAAAATAAGATGCAGTTTCCATCTGCACAACGTGATCTGAATAAGGCTCACAGGTAGCAAAACAGCCCCTTGCAGAGAGACTGATATTTGTATGTCCTGGCCTCTCTGTCAGCTCAGCCCCAGCAGCCACCTCTCCTCAGTACCGCCTGGGTTTTCTAGACACTAGTCTCAGTCTCAGGAGGGAGGTTTAAGTTTCCGTGACTTGAAAAAGCCAATTGCTAGAGCAGAATAGACCTATTTAAAAATGTATGAAGCATGTCAAAATTCTGCAGAAAGCAGCCGATAAATATTAAATCACAATGAATATTTTAAAGTGTTAATAAGGAACAATACCCAAAAGACTAAAAAATTATTAAACCGAGGATTTTTATGTTAGTTTTCTGCCTGAGCTGAGCATGATGTTTGGGGTTTGGACAGGCTGTCAGACGATACTCACTGCAGTGGAAAATGTGAAAAATCAGTTTTAAAAAAAAAAAAAAGGGGGTGGAGGAAAATTCCTGATGCTTGATTCTGCCCAGTCTGGCATCTTGTGCTGCCTAGACCTCAGTGCAAAGGGAAGAGAAACACTTACAAATCTCTGCACTGGTAAGAATAGCGGCATGTTTTAACACCAAAGGCAGAGCAGAATCAGCTCCCACCCCCACCCCACACCCTCTCCAGTTCCGTACAAGCAATCAGAAAAGTTAGTCTGTTAGAAAAACTGTTTGCCTTAGGGCATGTCAGCATTGCTGAGCAGAACAGGCTGAAGAGTTGCCATGCAACAAAGCAAACAGAAGCTGGACACGATGTCACTGCAGCACTCCAGGCTGGGCAATTAGACCTGATGGGTGGGACACTCCACTGCTGGTGCGGCAGCGTTAATGCAACTCTACAGGACCCTTACTGGTACCTCTAGATCTACAGCTCCAAGTATACCAGTGTAATGGAAACAGCACAGAAACAATCAAGCCCATACACTAGGGCCATGCACTGGTAGTGAAGGAGGCAAGGTCTCATCTACTTCTCTAACCCTACGGACAAGGATAGCCCCTGGCTCAGACATGGGAAACCTTCAAAGAGGAAATGTCAGCATTGCTTTAAATGACACTGTCACTTCAGTGGTCTCTATGGGACTTCTGCAGGAAGTGGAACCTCTTACTGGCCCTAAGTGATCCCTGCAGACCCCTGTGGAGGGACTGAAAAGGCAAGGTCATCTTGGTACTTGGGGCAAAGGACTCCTGAGGTGAGGATGGGGAATCATATGTCATGCTCCTGCCCCATGATTTACCTGAGTTATTGTACTACAACTCAAAGTTGCAACCAGAGATACTCATCTCTTCCTCAGGCAGGAGAACCACTCCACAGGCCACTTACCTATAGCTGGGGCAATGTTGTGAGTGGTGAGGTTCACCACCTTCTTCTCTCTCACTGGCTCTGTCACAAAGACTTGGTAGATCCTGCGCTCATGCAGGCCACAGTAGTGATGGTGCAGGTGGCAAGAGTACGTGCCTTCATCTGCACTCTCCAGCTCTGAAATCCACAGGGAGAAGTCACCCACAGCAAAGGCTGTGTCAGTGATGTTCATCTTCTGACGAATAAAGAGAGGTCCATAAGAGCGACGTTCCCCAGAGGCATACAGATCAATCAGGCGGTCAGCCCGGTCATGAGGAACTCCTGGGGGCTGCCTGTCCCAGTGGACCACTTGCTGCTCCTCTTCACTATGCCGTTCAGTCCAGATGTGGTTCCGGTTCACACAGGGGAGCATGACAGTGCTGCCTTCCAGGGCAACAATCACAGCCTTCTCCCCATCCCAGTACTGCTTTGCTTCCTTGGCTGCGGAGATGACAGGTGACAAGTGACAGAAGTAGTACACCTTGGTACATGCATCCTTACAAATTTGTCTTATGCTTAAGGACACCAAGACTCACCTAAGGTTGCTCTCAAACCCTGCACTCCTATAACACATCCCCTAAAAAGATCTTCAAGTGCTACAGGGGGAACATGCTTTGTTCATGCTCATTTCAGCAGTTAGTAAGGAAAGAAGCACACACAGATCTTCCACATCATATGGTCAGACCATCTTCCCTTCCTTATAACTGAGAGTTTGTCTCTAGCTTCAGAAAGCAGGAAGTGTGTTTTCTCTCCAGACTAAGCATGGAATGAGAATAACAGATTTCATCTTCAGTATGCTGTGTCCCAGTCCTCCAAACAGCTTATGCAGGCTCCATACAGGAAATGCTTTTCTGCCCACAAAAGCCCTAATTGCTGGAGGAGTTTAGGAGCACTGTTCTGCATTTTGTTCTTGCAGAGGATTAATAAAATAACCAAAACACAAGTGAGCAGATTGGGGCTCACAGGCCGGGCTGGATGTTTTTATTGCAGCGAAGCTGTCAGAACAGCAGCAGAAAAAACGCACTTGTGGTCTGTCCCATCACTTTCTTAGACAACTCAGCCCTTCATCAGCTTCCTAGCAAAATCGGTCCCAGTAGCCTCACTCGTGCATTATATGAAGGTTGATCTAAGTGAAATGGCAGTGTGTAGGTGGCACACACTGTGGTTGCCAACAGCCCTTAAAAGCTTGCTCTTAGAGCAGTAGCCAATGGGTAGTCACGTGAGGATGTTTTCTTAACTACAGAGAAACTTACCCCCTCCCAGGGGTAAGTTCACTGACCCCTGTATAAGTCAGATTTCTGTGGCTAACCCTAGTGACGACGGACTGTTGAGAGGGATGTTTTACTGCTGGAGCAATAACAGGACAGTTAGCTAACTGTTACACTGCCTAGTGCAAACATTTAAATTAATGGGCTCCTTGCATTGTTTGGCACAGGCCAAGCAAGAAGGAGAGAGGTTCATAAATATGTATGTTGAATAACATTTCTGAAATTCAGTGACTCTGATAGCAAACAGCTGCACAGTGAGCACCACTGTCTCCTGACACATCACAAGACTCTTGCAGCACCTGTGCCCTGTACCTGCAACTGACAAGGTCTGAGCAGAACCCTGCATCCACACTGCTCCTCTTGGATGCTAGCAGGACAGCATGCAAGGCCTGCCCAAATCAGCAGTAAAATCTCCTTGTAAACTCAGAGTCCTGATGGCCAGTGGACTCCAATTGCCAGACGAGGTTCCCTGCACAAAGGTGTCTGCCACACCTACCTTTTTTGGTGATATCTAGTTGAATTTTCACAGTTTCATATAAGTGGCAGTAGTGATGGTGAAGATTACAGGAATATGTGCCTTCATCACTCTCTGCAACATCTAGTACAACAGGGAAGAAAGGGGAAGTTGAATGTTCCATGCCGAGGCAATGATTACATTTGTCATTTATGCTGAAGCCCAAATGCTTGTATGGTGACAAAAGGGCAGAGAAGAACCTGACCTAATATAATAATTTGTTCAGTTTACTTGCTTTTGCTTGGAGCATGTTTATATTAACAGAAGGAAGGAGAAAGCTGATTTAAGTTTAGCTAAGAGCAGGGTAATCTTGAGTTCACAGTTCAAGCACAGTCAAAGGTCCATGACGAGCCCGAGTGACTTTCAGGTAATGAATTGTTATCAGTTTCTCTTTTAAAACGTGATTATTCCAAAGGGGAATAAAACGCTACTGACAGTGCTGCAGAGAACCTCATTACAGTGATTTTTTGGAGAAAAATGCTCTGTAAAATAGTCACTTGCACTGGAAGACACAAAGCTAATTTAGTCATGAAGCTTCCTCTCTAGAGGAAGCAAGATAAGAAGAGATGCTGTTTAGTACCTTTGATAACCAGTGAGAAGTTTCCATCTGTAAATGCATTCTGGGGCATGAATATCCTCCCCTGGTTGTAGGAGCTGTAGACACGCTGTTCACCAGCTGAGTACATGTCACACAGCCTCTCCACCTTGTTATCTCCATAGTAGTTGCTGTATACGTCCCAGTGGACTACACGCTGGCGGTCATTCAGACGATCCTGGGTCCACACCATGCGGTAACTCTTGCAGGGCAGGACAGCCTGAGACCCCAGTGTAGCACTGATATTTAATACTGACACCACAACACTGTCTGGGTTTGAGGCATCAGCTGGGACTGAGAGCCAGGAACAAGGAAAGAAAAACAGAGTTATTAGATTAATAGCATGTGAAGAAGGTGCTAGAGCAGGACTCAATCCTGCTCTGGAATCTCTGCACATCTTCCACCCAAAATAAAGTAACTTTCAAGACCAACACAGATCTCAGTCATGCAGAAGTACAGTAGAAAGTCAATAAAAACACTAATTTCATGCAGTGAAAGCAATGTCTCCGACATCTGTTATCAAGGTCTACATTTGACCTGTCCTACCTACCCTTCCTAATCCTAATCCCCTGTCACATCAAAGTTTAGAGACACTTGTTCATGGCACACTTGGCCCACACCTATTAGTCAGCCATGAAACCCCCATTCCATGTCATGAAAGCAGGGTCCCTCTACTTTCTTCTGGTAATCACAAAAAATAGGCAGAATACAAATATGTCACCTACCTGAATATAAGTTAACAACAGAACCTGTTAAAGGAGATAAAAAAGAATGTTACAATAAAAGTAAGAAAAAATATAAATATACTCATAGCCAGCAGTCATCTCCTCTGTTATTACTGCATCTATTCCTCCCTTCCCTTTAATATCCTTATTTAACAAACATATTGTAGTAAAGCCCAGAGGCTCAGACCTTGGTTGCCTCACGTTGCAGAAGACGCGGTAAACCTACAGCAAAGGACAGTGCCTCACTCAACAAACTCATGCTTAAGAGCACAGTGGGAAATGCTTAGCCTGCAACTGAATTTCACTCTACCCATGTTTTTATTTCATATTACCTAAAGCCACAGGACTTTTTCCACCATGCTATTCAAAAATAACACCAAAGGTATGTGTCAATGTATCACCCACCAGAACTGTCTGAAAGGCCTGTTCTGCCCCAGAGGAAACTAACACAAGTTGTGTAAGAAGAAAACAAGAACCCAAGGAGGCAGGAGTGGGCAAGAAGGGAGGCATAGGCATCATAGCATCTGCTTGGTCCTGCATAAATAACGTGGCACCAGTGGAAAAAGGCAGGCAGGAACAGTTCAACTTGCTCTTATCTAACCACACCACTGAGACAGAAATTCCCACATTCTTTTTACCACTTTTTGTTCATTTCACTTATCCTAGACTGGACCTTATTCAGACTAAGAGAATATGGAAACAAATATTCACTAGCTTTTGTTGAAGCACTTGCCATGCAGTTGTCCCAAGGCAGTCACAGCAGTGTTTACCATCCCTTTCCATTCACATACCCTTTGCCAGTGGTAGCTCTGTTTTGAGACAGCAACTCCATCTCCTGGGCTCACACCACTGAGAGGTGAGACACCAGAAAGAAGGTCTTGTCTCCAATGGTCTTCCTCCCTCTCAAATGTCTACCAATGGGAGCCAGCAAAAGCAGTGAGAAAAATGCTGACTTTGCATGTTGCTGCTGACATATCACTTAACTCATTACACAGACTTGCTCTGTTCCAGGATAGATAGGACAGCATTTCACACACTGACAGGAAACTATAAGATATGATGGAACAAGGAGATAGACCCAAATGCTCTTGCCAAGACCAAATATTCATATTCCAGTTCTTGTCTGGCTGTTGCCTTCATTGCAGTAATTTCTAGCCAGCACACCATAACTAATATGGGCTTTACTTATTGCTGGTGTATAGCCAGCAAGGATGTAGCTCTCCTATTTCCTTTTGGAAAAGAGGACTTGCTAGTGTTGAACAGGGCACACACATTTGCCTGGGAGTGCGAGCCTTCTAACATGAAAGAGACATGTTTTGCCCTTCCACAAAGCCTAGTCAATCAGGAGGAGGGACAAGAAACAATAGCAACTCTAGACTGGGTTCAGCTCATCTTTCACTACTATCCCTGTGGCAACATAGCTTGTCCACAGAAAGAAACAGCAGGAGAACACTGGATGCCTTTAAAGAACTAGCTAGATGTCACCAGTTAAAACCCTGCTCATTTTGTTCTGTTTAACCTTTGTGAAATTAATGTGATACTTCCATTTCTATCTCTTTCTTAATAGACACCCACATCTCAGTCAACCCCTTCTGCCAAGACAAAGGCCTTAACGGACCTGGAGACTGAGCATTTCTTTCATTCCCTGCTGGTCAGAGCTGACAAGGTGGAGGGGAGAGGATCCACACTGCTGATCCACTAGATCAAGGACTAACAGATGACTTTCATCTCAGAGACTCCAAACAAAACTCCTACACAATTGGTGCTGGGATTAATGCATTTAAGGGAATTCTTCAGCTCTGCAGGATGCTGAGCCTACCTGTCAAATCAGGAATGATGGGACTTGGCTGCTACACTTCACACTTGTGATACACATGGTTGTCAGCACTCTGCTGAGCAGGTACCCGTTTCCTTTGGGAGTATGCCCTGCCGAGTGTCTTCCTCTCACATTTGTTGTCTGCAGCGCTGAAACTGTCATGCTCTGGAAGCAACTGCAGCTCAGATCTATGCAGGAGGAACTTCACAAGAAATTAACTAATGCCTTTGTTTTTGCATTTCACTGGCCCAGTCCCTCCTGCCTTTTGTGTAGGATTGGTCTGGGAGGTCTGGCATCATGCATAGAAAGTCCAATTCTGAGTCCCAACACAAGGACATCATTCATCTCCCTAACCAATCAAGCATAAGTGGGTTCCAGCAAGATAATTAGATGTTTTGTCCTGCTAATATCATAGTCACAATGCCCTCCCAACAAAGAGTGTATTTTTCTCCAACCCTGGAATTTATTCATTTCAAAAGGGAATAAATTAACTCCAGACTGGGGCTACTTTAAGCACACCCTCAGAGCATGGCCTGAGAATAAACTCTACTTCCTTTCCTTTTCCTATCACAAAACACCAGGCAGTGAAACCAGAGAATAAAAATGAGCAGCACTGTCTGTTGAACCGCCCTGTTCAAAGACCGTCCAAATGTAAATCATTTTTTCTACATTTACAATCTCAGCGTTACAAAAAGAAAAAATCTTCTGGGACAAAGCCTGTACTGCTCTAGATATAAGAAAGAGACATCATGCTCAGACCTTACATTCCCATCATTTCATGGTCTTTCTTAATAAGCTGCAAAAAAACCAATGGTAGAGTATGATAAGCGGCCAGCCTTGGTCTCTGGGAACCAGGGCTTAGATTTAGTTTAGGACAACAAAGGAATTATACAAAGCTGTTTTACAGTACCTTCCCTTCAAGGTATCCAAAGTGTTTTATAGACTTCAGCAAAGTAAGTCTCACAATGCTCTTAGGACAGGACAGCCAGCCCTCAGCATAACATCATCAGCCTGTAACAGTGTGACGCAGCAATGTTTGAGTGTCTGATCTGGTATTGTTTGCACCGTGGCTGGGGAATGGCGTATCACAACATGAATAGCGATTTGCATGCTAGTGAGTGGTGCCTATGAGCTGGCTGGCTGTACAGCCAGTGCTTCCAGAGCCTTGCTTTACTGCAGATTGATTTGGTGCTACAGAAACATCCTCTCCTAGCTGAGCAACAGGAATGCATTTACTTTTCTCCTTTCCTCTTGCAAGCTAATGCAAAAAATATGGAGGCCAAATGCAGCATCATAAATCTAACAACTGACAAAGGTATCCACCTAAGCCTTCCAATATGCTCTCCTCTGCAGCCTGTCCCAGCCCTGAACTAACAACAGCTCTGATCCTCAGTTTTGGATTTTTGTGCTGGGCCTACTGGCATGGTAATGACCACCCAGGTCCTAGGTCTTTATTCCATCAAAAGGGGCCCTTTGCCAGGCTAGGCTACTGGGGCTCTGTCAGCCAGCCACATGCGTTTCTCCAGCACTCTTACAAACATAACTTCACTGCTGCCTTGTTTTACAGAGAGTTATCTGTAATGTACCAGCTTTAGGTGAGAAAAGCTGTCTGTGGGTTGTGACAGCTTTTCTTTCATTTCGCTATTAAAGCCTTTGCTAGTAGCTCCATAAGAAGCAGGACAGCAGTCCTCTCTCTTGCCTACTTGACAATTACGTTCCAGAACTCCTGGGTCTTTTTAGCTCTGCCCTTCTCACCCATGAGATTTTGCTTCCTCTGGGGAAGAGGAGCATCTCTGGATGCCTTTTCTGCCTTTTTCCACGCTGCTACTTTGACTTGCTGGATGCTGCCACACAAAGTTGAATGGCCCTAGGTTACAGTGACATCATGCACTAGAACAAAACCCATCCAAAGTGCAGGCCTAATTAAGTAATATGCCTGAGCTCAGCACAGAGATGAGATCTGTAGGAGAGAAAGGGGTTTTCACAACACATCTGTGCACACTCTCTCTCTCTCTCACACACACACACAGACACACACAGATTCCGGACAGAAGCTTTGGGCCCAAAGTCTACCCTGGGGTATTTATAATCTCCAAGCAGTAGGTGGGAATATCAAGAGAACAATGAAACAGCAGCCAATAACCAAAGTTTTAGAGGGGAAAGAAGGGAAAAGGCATACTGCAGTGTTTACAAGACATATGGGAAATCCACAAGGCAAAGAAGGAAGAACTGATTGTGCTGATTCCCCAGCTGTGTTGGAAATCTGCACACATACACCATGCCGTGGAGGAAACTCAAACTTATTTGAGATGGCTGTAAATGAGATCACTTAGATAGCTAAGGAATCTGGAATGTCCCTGGTCCCTTGTATGCCTGGAGGAAATAAAAGTTAAAACAACTGACTTTCAACAACCTGGACACAGAACAGTAGTCAAAACCGGAATGAGCCCTTTTCTCTTTTCAGAGTCTCCTGCCTCTGCTGTATGACCTTGCTCTGCTATGCGAGTCCCCACCTGCATTCAGTAAGTGAGACAAATCCCCCACTCATGCTTTCTAAAGCTATTATTTGTATAACACAGTAGATACTAAACAAAGGCAGGGATAAATCCATGACCCAGCAAAGTATACAGCTTATGAACTACAGGGAGCGGGGTCAACTGGAAAAAGCTATTGTTGTGAGTTACACTTCTCAACCTGCAACTGTAAGCTTAAGGAGTATTTATACTCCTACTGAAAGATTGGAGCCTTTTGTAATCACAGGACTCCATGACCTGGAGCTTCAAAACCACCAAATATCTTGATAGTTGACAACACAGAACTCACTCTAGCTTTCATTTTAAGATTTCAAATTCCATGTGGAGGACAATCACTTTGAACTTTCTCTGTGTAACGTATGCACTTATAAAACAGCAGAAAGAGGTCTATGTACTGTCCCCTGACATGTTCTGTGCAACTCAGCATGCCTCTCGGAAAGACCCTGGAAGCATCGTACTGGTCCCACAGTATAGAAAGAGAAAAGCAACCTGCAACAATTTCCAAATCCCTAATAAAATACACAGCCAGGTCTTACTTCTTGAATCTCATAAAGAATTAGGCCAAGAAAACAGCAGGCAAAGTAGAAGTAAAAGCCCCAGGGTCTGAAAAACATCTCACATCCTCATAACTTTCTAGGCAGTATCCATGGAGCAGTTCAAATGGAAAACTGCCCCTCAAGCCTTGCCTGAACAATACCGTTGCTGATCTCCTCAGAGGAAAGAGCTGCTGACAGAGGGGCTGCTTCACAGGTAGAAACGTGTGTTCAAATCACTAAGCTCCTGTCTGATGCTGGAGAATGAAAAGCTGTACCAGAACAAAAGAAGAAACTCTGCAAATATCATAACTGATAGCCTGACTGCCAAGCGGAGCATATGCTCCACAGGACACGATAACACCAGCTTTAATTGCAGTGCTTCCGCTGAACTCAGGAAGAACTTTGCCATAGATTTTAGCAGACCCAGGATAAACCACCTGGAACAGTGCCTTACAAGACAATAAGCATCACTGAAGTCCAGACTGTAGTGGTGGGCAGGAAAGAAAAACTAAAAATATCTCTGGAGGAATGAATGTCACATGCCACCAGGCATATGGGTTGAAAGGACAATCTCTGAGGTTGATACTCCGATTGCTTAAGTAAGCACATCTCATATGGCCTCTGCACACCTTCTCTAGCACCTCGTGGTCTGTCTCAGTCTCTTTTTTCTTCTAAAAAGGGAAGCAACATCACCTTTACATTAGGGGTACTGAGGGATAGTCCAGTCCTGGAGAAGGGACTTGTTCTTCAGGAAATGTGTAAGTGTCAGAGTCCTCATTTCCCCAACTGCAATCCCTGTGTAGGGGATTTGATGGCCCCTGTAGAGCTATTTATTATACAATTAGCACAAAACCAGCAGCTTGTGCTACTGAGCTATCTCCAGCTATTTTTGAAGAATGGCAGCAGCTTCATCCTGGTTCCCTGGGGAGCTGGCAGTGTCTAAGGGGCCATAAAGGCTCACAGCACAGTAACATGAAGACAACAGCAACACAAATGAGCTCAGCTCTGTTCTGACAGCAATTTCTCTTGACCCGCTGACCAGTGACCAGGAATAATGTCTGGGCTCATCTCGAACAGCCAGAGGAAGGAGAGAGCAAGCAACACAGTTCTATGCTTAGACATCTTCAATTCACCATCTGCCACTGTTGGTCCAGGACTGCAAGACTAAGATTTTCAGTAAAATAAGGTTCCTCCTACACAGCTAGCTGATGGTCAAGACAGGTCTTGAACTGGGATTTTTTCTAAGTTTTTTTATATTCCTTTATTTCTAAAGTCTTCCTGGGCCAAGTTTCTCAGCAGCAAGGTTTTCTGCTTTCAAAGAGGATGTCAGGATTGGAGAGCCCTTAACCACCCATCTGATCCCAACAATTCCAACACTTCACTGCAAGCAGGAACATGTCCGTGAGTTGGCAAGAAGTAAGAATGTGCTGCCTCAGCATAAAGGAAAAAGCCTTCTGTCTATACAAGAAACCAATCGCCATCTTGGCTGCCGCACAACGAGGATCCCTCATAGACTCGCCCTAACTTTCTCACAGACAGCTCAGATATTAGCTCGGCTTCATAAACACTTCTCTGCCTCATGTACTTTATGTTGGCCTCAGGCCCATGAAATAGTTTGCACTGCCTTTCCAAACAGTGCTGTTCCTCCCTGCAAGAAATTAACACTTGAGGGTTGGGTTCTTCAGAGGGGATCATCTCAGCAAATATGAAAGGGCCTGGATTTCCCAACCTGATTTGAGTGGGCATGGCAGGGCTCAAACATCATGGCTGCCTGGCACCTGGATAGGCATCTCTCCAAAATATACCTAAAAGTCTGCCAGAGATCCTCCATCCTTAGATGGAATGCTGTTGCCTCTATACAGCTCTCCTACTACTCTATATCAACCCAACCTGTTGTTCCTGCCCCAGGTACTCCCTAAGCTCTGCCAGCATGCCTAAATCATGCTGGGAAGCAGTTGGACTGGTTGATGATTCTGTACTACAATCCGCATGGCCTCTTGTCCTTCTCCAAGCATAATCCCCCAACACACACTAGTTTTCTGAGCTACTTTAAGCCTTCTATCCCTATGACTGGCCCCATATGTTGCTCCGTTCCTGAACCTTGCCTTGAGGCGCTGCAAAACTGGGTGCGATTTGGTGAGATGAGAAACTAGATTAATTAGACCAGACTGAGAAGCACTCAGTTTACTCCATCTATGTACTGAGGGACATCTGAGAGGCTCAGATGGCTAGCCACAGTCTCTCATTAACAGGGCTCTAGAAGAGCACAGGGAGTCACTGGTTCCAAAAAAACTTTCACTCACTTCATACTGTCAGCACCCTGAATAAAAGTCTTTCCATGCAGTTCTTAGAGCTGTAATCAGTCCTTGATCATAACTGTCTTCCTTAGAGCCCAAAGTCTTGCAACTGCTGGTTTGCTGTAGTTTTACAATTTATCCTCAAGTCTTCTCCCTTCATCCAAGCCTTACTGGGGTTTCTCTATTCAGCTTGGGGTCAGGCTCTCAGGACACTGGATCTGCTTTTAGCCCTTACAAAAAACTCTGTGATAAAGAAAAGCGCAAATGAACCATTCTGCTACTGTAAACCCATCATGCTTGTGCTCATCCCTTGCCAGTACCTTACCTTCAAAAGAATTACTATCTCTCTGTCTTTATGTTGACAGTACAACAACTTTTAATTTTCTTCCACCCTGAACACCCACACTTATCAATTGTCTGTTTCTGCATCCTCAAAAGTGTAAAGCAATCTTGGATCACGTAAACCTAACGCTATCCAAGCTTTACTGCACTCCCACTCAATTCCCATTATTGCTTTTGAATCTGCTGAGCAAGGTAGATAGATGATAAGAAAATTGTGCCAACATGCCGAGTGGAATCCCCAAACATTTATCTGTGCTCTCTCCTTCCCTCTCCAAAAGCCATGAGAAATCCAAGATTTCCTCTACTCACAGACCAAAACCCAGCTAACTTAGGAATCTGAACAAAAAGTTACAAAGATGACAGTTCAAAATCTCCTAGATAACCTCCAGCCCCTATCCCCTGTGAGCGAAATAAAGACAAACAACATGATGCCGATCAGCTAGGAGCTTACTTTGCTGAAGCAAAAGCTGCCACAGAAGGAGTTTTGCTAGTTGTTCCATTTCTTCAGCTTCTCCGTGTTTCCGTCTCTTTTGAAAAACAAGTCAAAGATTTTTTTTCTCTCTTTTTTTTTTTTTTTTGGTAACTTGAAAACACTATGATCTCACCAATTTACAGCCAGAAAGCTGTGGACAGCAGCTCATATTCTGCAGAATTACTCCACCTCCCACTTCCAACTCCCCACCTCCCTTCTCTGCTCTCCCCCACACCCACACTCCACCTCCTTCCTTTCCCTAATGCTTTCTGCACAATTACTCCAAACACACACTCTTCCTTGTCCCCTCCCTCTGGGAACTTCTACTCTGCCCCTGACTTTGATGTAAAAGTTTTATTGGATAAAGTTAGTCCCACTCAGCTCTGGGCTCTGGAAACAATCTTTCCCCTCCCCCTGGGGATGGAACTAATTTTGCTTGTACTTTACTTGATCCAGCTGTTCCTTCCTTTGTTTGACACTCATCCAGCTGTCTGCTTGAAACTGGATTTATTCTCTTGCCTTCAGTGTTTTTCTGATCTTTGTCTCCTCATATGGTTTTACTTTAAGCTCAAGTCTCAAAAGAACTTAGAAAACAATGTTTACTCTCTGGATTGTGATTTGTAAGCAAGAGCTTAATAGCAACTATCCCAGCAAAAAAATAATAATGACAAAGAGCTGAATATGCGTGAGCTTAGGGCAGCGCAGGCAAAAGAGACCAGAATATAACTAAAGCCCCAAAACTCTGCAATATTGGTTGCAGGGTTCCATATCCAAGAGGCTTGGATGCAGAAAGCTGAGTCAAGTTTAGAACCTCTATTTTCAAGCCTTCATATAAGAACTGAACTACGGTAGGAGGTTTTTGATTGGCATTTAAGCAGCCAACACACTGCCGTAATCTTAACCATGGAAGACCTGATATACTCACAGTATATATATATATATACTCACACGCACTCACAGGATAATACCAGCACCTTTTGCAATCTCATTGAACTAGTGCCAAGATATGGCAACAAGACCAAGCAGTGATGAAATTCTTACCAGCCTTTGCTCAAGTGAAAGGCTGTTAACTTCAGTTAACCAATTCCTAAAGCTGTACTGATGTATTTAGCTATGTGATGATTAGGAGTATTCACATGGTCAGTTACTGCAAACAACGATAAACAACAGCGGGGCAGAACCTTCTTAAACTACAAGCATGGTTTCACGAAAAAAAGTCTACATATATCCTTTTCGTTTTTGCATTCATAGACCAGTTAAATCAAGTTCGGAGACAGTCGTCATCTTTCTGATCTGGAGGATTAGTACTTTAGTTCAGCTGTTTTAAGGAGTCTATCCCTTCTGCACATCCTGCAGCATCTAATCAAGCGTTTTGTGAAATCATACCCTCATGCCGCCATGGTTTAAACAGCCAAAACTTTACAAGCCTAACTGAAGGGGGCTGTAACCTCCACAAGGAGCAGGAACAGCTTAATCAGGCTGCTGGCTGAAACATCCTTTAAAACAGGCCCTGAACTGATTTAAGTTAGTCTCTTCTGCTAGCTCCATTGTCTGCACACAAATTGTACTAAGCTATCTAGAAGTATGTCTGGCTAGTACTCCAGTCCTCCCTCCCAAAGGAAAACTAGTCAGGTAATAACTCTGCAGTCTAAGGCAACTTGCGAAATGAATTCTTCCTAGGTTTTCACAGTTTTTTCATAAATCAGAAATACCTGCTTTCCAACATGCAGGAGGCTTTGCACTCCCTAGGATTGACTGTTACTCTGCAGAATACTGTTTCTTTGAGGTCAATAGATACCCCAAGCCACAGGAGGGAGCTAGTTCAGGAAAGAGAAAATTTGAACTCCTCATCATGGGCAGGTCTGGTAACTCTCCCTAGAGGTAAACAAAAGCAAAAGAGTCAAAAGTAATAGTAAGGCCTAGGTCTGAAACCTATAAACTCTTCAAAGTGACTTGAGACGTTTGTATATCTCTGCTGTATGTCTGACCATGTTCTTCACTCTTGACATACATTCAACATACCCAAAAGTGGAAAGAATACATCCTTACATAGGAGGGAGACACCAAAACTTCAAGCGACAAGACAGCCCAAACTGCACTGTAAGTGTTAAGTCATTTCTCTTCCATATCAGTCTAAGCCTGAGTTCTTAAGTAACCGATTAATTTCCAGTGGAAAAATGCCTTTGAATTTCAAAATTTAAAAAAAGACAAAAAATGGCAATTTTAAGATGGTCAAAGACACTGAGTGAGGGTATTCAACATGATGTTCCAGGAAGTGTTTTGGGATATGGGTATGAAAGGCTTAAATGTTGCTTTAGACTAGGAATATGGCTCCATTTGAATCTGGCTTGTGTAGGCCTAAACAACCTAGCCCATGTAGATGACACATGATTGGCCAGTCAGCCAATCTGGAGTTAGCCAGAGAGAGTCTTATTTCAAGACTTGCAGGAAAATTACACAGATATAAATTGAGGAAATAGCACAGATGTTACTTGTGTATGTTAAAAATATGATAAAGCTTTCTGTTTGCTTGATTCCTGTTGTTAGATGGTGTTGCTTACGGCTGTTTAGCAGATTTAACAATACAATCAAATTAGTCTTTAAGTGGAAAATTTTGGGGGGGGGGGATTTAATCTTAATTTATCATTCTTAAATGTCCATCTGTATAACAGAGTTAAATATATTTTGGACTCTCATATGAGAGCTTAAAATAAAAGCTAGTGAAGATCTCACGGCATTCCAGGGAGAGAAACTTGATTGTCCCACTAGAATCTTTCCCTTGCCACATTCTTCTGTACCATCCAGTACACCAGAGGATAGATTCATTCTAGCCTAGAAAGGGCTGTATTTCAGGGGAGCCAGATGCTACAGAAAGAGATGGGCATTACAACACAAACAAACACATCTAAATAATTACACTATGCAACAAGTGAATTTTGGAAACAGACTAAATCAGATCAGAACTTCATCTAGTCCAAGATCCTGTCTCCAGCAGCAGACAGAACCAGATGCTTCCAAAGAAATTCCAAGAAATTTGAGCTATTCTAATTAAGTAATCTGACCATGCACAAAACCTGCTGTTAACCCCAGCAAATCTTCACATTGTCCAAAACAGATCCAGATCAGTGCTGGTTTTCTTTCTAGTGAAAGAAGTTCTAAAATCATCTTCAAACAAGAACCCCATGAAGGTTCACTGCAAATTTCAAGTTTGTCACTTATACTAGGTGGAGAGGGTGGGTGTAATTAGACATGTACAATCATTCACAGTCCAATTTCTCAAACTCATTAGCTGAGCTATGTCACTAGCCTATATGTTCACACTTCCAGTGTAAAAAATGTAAGCTCAGATATTTGCATTAGTCCAATTCCATAATCACTTGTGTGCAAAGGCTCCTATTACTCCATGTCCCTAAACTGAAGACTTTTTGCCAGATTCTCAGCTGATCTCTGTAAGTATCACAATAAAGACTGTACTGATCTACAGCAACTGATGTGCTGACCTGTTGCTGAGACAGAAGTGTAGTGGAAGAAGGAGCCTTTCCTGTTGCCTCTCTCAGGCCAGGCAACCAGATAAAAGGCTCTGATCTGACAGCCCTTTTGGTAAGCTGCATCATCAGAGTCTGGAAAGTGTTTGCCTGGGAGGCAAGAAGCTGCTCCTGTTGTGCAGACAGCAAATGAATCCTCTTCTTCCCTTGGTTTTGCTCAACCACTGGCTGAACCTGCCAGGCTGGAATTGCAGGTTACTTCTCCATCTTTCTGCCACCTAGCTTTGGCACTGCAGAGGTTACTGGCTATTTCTTGCAACTTTTCGGATAGATGCAGGTTGCTGTGGTTGCTGCGGTTGCTGCTGTCATGAATTGTTTTTGTCCTGGCTGAAAGACGCCAAGTCCACTGACTCCTCCTAAAGAAAACAATCTAGTGGAAGGAAAGAGGAGGAGCTTCCTTGGGGTTCAGGCTGAGAGAAGGAAAAGGACACAAGAAGATATTTCACAGACCCTTGCCCTTCCCTCACTTTTAAATTCTTCTCTTGTACAGTAGTCAGCCTTGCCTTCCTAGAGCCTTGCTAGCCCAAATTAATCCTGGAAGGGCGGTTGTATCAATGCTTTGCCCAATCAGGAGCTGAGCTTTAAACTAGATCGTCTGTGGAGGCCAGCAACTTTCCCTAGCCTTTCTCCCTCCTTCTTTTCCAGTGGGAGTTTGGGTATTGATTCTCAAAACAAGAAGCATAACTTAGCTGCCTGTCCTGACCACAAGCCCTGTTCAAAGAAAGCGCCTTTCTCCATGTAAGGGAAAAGTAACCACCAGCAACAGCACAAGTTTTTTGTTTCCTGGAGCTCTTCACCTGCCATCCTCATCACAGATCAGGCTGGCAGGGAGAAGAAAGGCTTTTCTGTTTCCAGAGTCAACCCTAATTCAGCTGCAAGTGCTGGTGACTCAAGGGAAAAAAGCCGTGCCCAAAGACAGCACAGGGATCACGAGATTAATTGGCTTGCGGAAAACAATATTGAACAAGCCATGTCTGTTAGGAAATTTGTTCTCCCTGTTTACTTCCATTGTAACATTTTCCATTTCCATGGCTGTAGGCCACATTGGAAGACCGCAATAAATCAAGATCACCAATCTAGAAAATTGAGCAAATATCAGACCTGGAAGAAGGTATGATACAAAAAGGTACCCTGTTTTCTAATTGTGAGAATCATTCAACTAGGGAAGAAGGAGCAGAAGTGTCCACTTCTGCCCCGTTTTCACAGCTATAATACATGCAAAACATTAACAAGGAATGACAGGATTAGTGCTGCGTTGACATGAAGACAAATTCTAGCACAAGGCCATGGGCAGAGGATTTGTCAATATCCATGTTTATATTGTTAACAACTTATTTCTCTAAATACAACTTAGTTCTCTAAATATAAGAGCCATTGTACTCTGCCATGATCAACAGAAAGGAGAAAATGTCTGCATATGAGTAGAAACAAGCAAAATTCCTAGAACTGGAAAGTAGCAGGGAATACTACAGCTCAGGAACAAAGGATGCCGACTGACAGGTACAGTGGCAAAGGTAGTATGGACTCTGCAAGGCAAAAATATAAGCATAAATAGAGCTCTGCGTGAAAACAGCAAAAGAGGGAAAGGCAGGAGTACCGCAGTCCA